ATTTTGTGAAGGGTCCGTTTTTAAGTTAAAATATTTTGTGAAGGGTCCGTTTTTATGAAAAGATATTTTGTGAAGGGTCCGTTAACGGTGCCAAATTTCTTCTAAACAGACCCCTGATTCTATACGAGACCTAAAAATATGTATGTGGCATACCTATTTCTAACAAGATATGATTATTGATACTTTAAGGGATTTTATAACTGAAGTTTGTTTTGAATGATCAGTTATAATTTTATCGTATGTTATTATACATTATGATTAAGGATAACATACATCAGAGTCACTAGCAGCTATTAAACAGAGATTACAAAATTGAGAAAAAATTAGGTTAACCCTTTATAGGGCAATTTCTTCTGGAAACGTTATGTTAAGCTATATGTGCAATTGAGATTGATTAATATAAAAAAAAAATATTTAACGCATCACGTACCTAGAATTCATTTTATTTTTAATACCAACTGTAAAGAATTGGCCATAAACTTGAATGTTCGTAAAGAGTAGGAAGCACAAGTTTCGAGACAATATGTTTTTCTGCTTGAACCTTTTCTGCAAGCAAAAATTCTTAACGATCTGTAATTAGTAATTTGTGGTTTTAGTCATCCTGCATTGGGAGCAACTAATAATGGACTTGAAAATTTTTAATTTAACAAACACAAAACGAGAATTTTAAATATTGAAATCGAAAGTTTTGATATGACTCAGTTTTTCTAGACTTTTAATAAAATTAAGAAAATGAGAAAGTAATAATGAATTTCAAATACTTCGTTGACAATCCTTTTGCTTTGCTGACTGCGGCACATCGTCTAGTCATTAACAAAGTTTTCTAGAGCGAAGTTTTTCAAATTTCGACTGAAGATTCTGAAGGAGTTCTGATTTTGATGAATGTTTCTATGCCTGGACTTTTCTTCCAATGAGTTCTCAAAGGTGCTCTATTGGATTCTGGTCAGGTGATTGACTCTGCCGGTTCAAAGTTTCAATTATTTTAGCTGTAAATTTATGAGGTGTGCTTATGACCATTATCCTGCTGAAATGTTCATCCACGAGGCATCGTCTTACGAGCATAAGCTAGCATATGTACTTGTAAAATTTTTTATAAACAAATTGATCTATAGTTCTATCAATGTGTACAAGGGGCAGGAGGACGCCATTGTGATGGAAAGCCTTTTAGACCTTTACCATTCCATTTAAGAGTTTCACTATATAACTGTTTGTATGTAAAATATTATACACATTAGCTATTTAAAGATATTAAAGGAGAAAGGAATAGACTCGAAGATAAATAGGTTCCCTCCCTTTTGAAATTTAAGATGAAATCTTAGGTTCATCAATGGTGAAAATGAAAACATCAAATATCCACATAGGATCTCTACGACATCATGTTTAAACTCTAAAAATGTTTTTCACTATGGATTTGTGAATCGATTTAGTTTCTGCTATGCTTAAAGCTGCTTATCTAACAAATTTCATGCGTATTCAGTATTGGTAGAGGTAGTTAAGGATCGCGAACTTTCCGTTGATTATCCAATTACATTTTCCCCAATTTTAAGGTCCTGCCAAAAAAAAATATTTGAGGTTCTGATAGAACGTGTAGATTTTGACAATATCTAAGAATAAATGCATATATCATGGTATTTATAATGACCTTTTACCTTTGTGCAAAAGTAAACCATTTTGTGATCTAGTAGAAATTGATATTAGTTAAAAGTAATGGAACACCCAAATAAGTGTCCATGCGAAGGAGAAGTATTTTCTAGTAAAATGTTCCATTTGTAAATCGATGAACTTAAATAAAAAATAAGTACTGGATCATCTTTAGTTTTCGCACTCCATAACATTAAGAAAATTTCTTTTTGTAAAAAATATAAAAGCGAGTGTTAAACATTTTCTTTTTTGAAAAGATCATTTCCTGAAAAAAATTTCGACAAAATCTGCTAACTGTCAGAGCCTGTTTAATATATCAGATTTTTTTTTAATTGACGCAAACTCAACTAAAAATACTAAATATATGTATATGTTATAATTTAAGCCAGAAGGTCGAAAAACTATGTTATTGGACTACGTTTCTTTAAGGTTTTAATATTTTTTCTTCTCTATTAGTATATCAGTACAAATACCTACAGTATCATTCTCAATATGGTTATAAGCTAAGCTTATACATTAAATAACCCCTAACAAAAAACGCTATACAACTAGCCATTATTTAGTACTTAAATATTGCATTTTGTAGATTTTAACTCAGTCTTGCAAATGTTAACAGGAAAATGAATATTATGTACATAAATGATATTAAAATTTTTTTTTATCATTATCTAAAACAGGGGTTTTCAACTTACATGAGGCCGGGGGCCACAATTAAAATCAAATGGCCGCAACTTTATCAAAATTTTAAGTAGGACTCTTTTATATTTGAAGGAACATTAAATATTACTATCAGATTTTTACCAAGTTGTAACAAACAAAAGTATAGAATTACAAATTAAAATAAGAAGTAGATTTTTAAAAATATTTAATTCGCATTAAAAAACTTTAACGTGCACCCATGTATTAAACAATTAATTTGCTACCCATCGATCTGAAGCCGAGGTCCAAAATGAGTGGTTTCAAAAAGTTAAATCGGAGAATTTCTTCGAGATAATTTCTGATACACGCATGCTAAAACAACATACACGATTATTTTTGTATTTGAATTAATATTTTCTTGGATGCAAAAACTGAGAAATAATTTTTTTTTGCACCGTTGGTATGATAAATTTCACAAAAACGAAGAAATTAGGTTTTTATTAACGAGAAAAGTACTTTAAACTCGTGTAGATTTTTTATGAAAATTGTCCGCAAAAAATGACAACTAATATATTTTAGTTCGCGGGCCACAAAAAAAGGCTTCGCAGGCCGGATGCGGTCCCCGGGCAGCCAGTTGGAAACCACTGATCTAAAAGTTATCTTACAAGAACTCACTAATTGTTAATTCTTATTCATTACTAAGCATTTTGCAGGACCCCCTAAGTTCTTAGAAAAACTAGTTAATTAATCTTTAAAAAAAAAGAAGCAAAGGTATGTAGATTACACGTTACATAGGTAGCAGTAAACAAAAAGTTACTCACTAATTGTAGATTCTTGTTAATTATGAAGCATTTTGCAAGACTCCGTATGTTCTTCGAAAAATTGAGTTTTCAAAAAATTTAGAAATAACAGTCTTCACTTTTTTCTAATTTCTTCAACAACTTCAATTTCAGAATTTTTTTCTTTGTTTCAACCTAAACAAATTAAAATGTTTAAATTTAAAGTTATAAAACTAAAATTTCATTTCAATAGTTTCAGGAAATGTGTTAAAAATGTGTTTTAACTTCTGTGTTTAAGTTAATGTAAAAGAAATTAGGTAAATAATATTATATTAATTTCTTTACTACTATTCATTTTAGAACCACATCGGAACCTATAGTGATACGACAAAGGTGTCTTATTAGCTCAAAGAAATCCAGTGAGAATTTAAAAGACCATTATTTATACATCATTAGAGAAAATGTCGGTAAGTATTTTAAAGAAATAACTTGAATGTTTCATAAATACATATTGTCAAGCAAAGTATGTAATATTAAATTTTCCCACAATGCACTATAAAAATGGCCATTAGATAAAAATACGTGCTTGTTGTATATTTTTGGCCTGAAATAACGGATCTAATGTTTTTCTAAAGCGCACAATTTTCCTCAAAATCAATATTTTAATTAGCTTGGCGACTGAACGTATTCTAAAAGAACATAAAAACTTCTTTGAAAAGCATTCTAATTGACAGCAGGAAGATCTTCAACTTGTCGACAAAAGCCTTATTTGAGCTACGGTGGCTTAGGGGATAGTGTTTACTTCCCAATGAGGTGAATCAGTTTCGAATCCCAGCGGTTTCTGGTTGATACGAATTCTGCATCCGTCTCACGCCGACCACAGTGCTGGCATAAAATATCCTCAGTGGTAGACGGATTATGGGGTAGAATCCTCTTGCAGTCAGGCTAACCGTTCGAGGTTTTTAAAGAATGCAATCACATTATTTTAAAGAATCATTTCGAAGCAATTTTAAATAGCACATTTTGAGTGAAATCAGTCGAATAGCTCCTGAAAAATTGAATTTTGAGAAAGTTGTATTTTAAGAATTTCTAAGAAATATTGCTCCGATTTGGATCAAATTTTGCATTTTGATATGTCCTTATAACGATGATGATAATTGTATATCCAAAAATTTTAATTTTTTTGACTATTATTAAATAAAGAATTATAACTACTCACTAAAATTTATGTTCTGCATATAATTATTTTATTTTATTACCGTCGTTGAACAGCCTTCCTGATTTTATGGGTTTACGACTATTAATGTTAAACTCCGTAGCTTTGTAATTTTGAACCCAATCCAGAAGACAAGGGAACTCCTAGATAGAGTTTTGTTAGAAATTTGCCTTCGTGGAGGACTTTTTGATGCAAATAACCCGCATTTGCGTTACATGGAGAGGAAGACCACGATAACCTCCCACGGTTAGCCTGATGACAAGGGGACTCTAACCCATCATCCGTCTACCACTGAGGATATTTCACGTCAGCACTGTGGTTGGTGCAAGCCGGATGCGAAATTTGTATCGACTGGGATTCGAATCCGGTTCTCCTCATTGGAAGGCGAATGCTCTATCCCCTGAGCCATCGCGTCTCACACATAATTATTTGTAAAAATTTCCAGATATGGAATATAATATATTTCCAGAATATGCAATAAGTAAAATAAACATTAATAGGTCCAGACTTTAGACCGCTCTACTGACCAAACTATTGGTACCATACCCTCTATATTGCGGTGGTCAGAAATCCGAATCCGCCTTAAAAAGGTATACTTATTACGAGAAAGTACGTTTTTGTGTCTTAATTTGAAACTTAAAGTATAGTTTGCACTAAATATCATATTTGGAGCTCACTCCCTGTAACCAAGAAGATTGAGTCCTAAAATTTGAATATCCGATCAATAGATCAAAAGTTATTTAAGGTGGTCCGTTTCTTTTTTTGTGCACTGTTTTCTGTTATTTCTTCTTAAGATAATGTAGTTTATGAAACATAAATAATTACCTAGTTTAAGTTTTGTTAAGAATTTTTAAATTAACAATTCTGCATGATGTAGCAATGTATACTTCATCAAAAAAGCGTTATTACAAATAAGCAAAGTATTACTTTCTGAAATAACAGCTGTGGGTGGTTAAATGATAATGAACAAATATAATTTATCATTAACGAAAGGGAAAAAATGTCGTATTTTTAACCGAACGTAATTAGAGTTAGTGAAGATTTTTATTTTCTCTAACCGCCAATGTAAAATGAAAAAAAGGTACAGCTAATTATATTAAAAATTCGAGTTGTTCCGTTTTTCGCAAACTAGATTGAACCATTAATTTTGCCTGTTATGTCGTAAAACATATCTTTTAATACTTCTAAAATATTCAAGCACTAATTATAACATTTGTATAATTATTTTAACTAATATTTTTTAAGTTTTGTTTGTTGTTTCTAGAAAACCAAAGTAAAATTTTTACTAAGGAGACTTAATTAGAGCAATTAATATATCTACTATGCATAATATGAAAACGTTCTTTATTTTTTTTTCTCTTAGAAATACATAAAAGTGTAATAATGTCTTGTTGTTGTTAGTTTTAAGAAAATTTTCAATGCTTTTAAATAACAGAAAATCGATAAAAATCCGTTCTATTCTTTCATTGTTACGCTTACAAGTTGCCAGTTAAAACAATTATATTTAACATTAAATTCTGACATGTCCATTCAGATAATATGCCATAGTCTTGTAATTTTGAACCCAACCCAGAAGACGAGAGAACTCCTGGATCAAACATTGGAACAAATTAGCCTTCATGGAGGACTTTTTGTTGGTACTGACCCGCATTTGCATTGCACGAGGAGAAAAACTAGATAAAACTTCCGCGGTCAGCCCTACGGCAAGGTTATTCTAACTCAAGATCCATTTACCATTGAAGATATTTTACGGCAGTACTGTGGTCGCTGCGAGCTTGGAGTAGAATTTGTACCAACCAGCTACCACTGCGATTCGAACCTGGGGCACCTCTTTATAAAGAAAAAGCTCTATATCCTAAAAAACGGCTGCTCGATAACTAAAAATTGAAAGGATAGAGCTCTCGCTGCTCACGGAAGTGACCCGGGATCGAAACCCAGCGATGGCTGATCGATACAAATTCCGCACTCGGCTTGCACCGACCACAGTGCTGCCGTAAAACATCTACGAAGGTAGATGGATAATGAGTTAGAATCCCATTGTTGTGGGATGTTTTCGTGGTTTTCCTCTCTGTATAACGCAAATGAGGGTTAGTTCCATTAAAAAGTCTTCCGCGAAATCAAATTTCTCCCAATTCTTGATTCAGTTGTTCCCTTGCCTTCTGGATTGGGTTCAAAATTACAAGGCTGCGGTAGTACATTAGTAGTCATAAACTTAAAATTAGGTAGGCTGCTCAACGGCTGTTGCAATATAGATAGGCGAATAGGAAAATTGTCAACGACTTTTAAAAAAATAGGTTATTCTTATAGATAAATTATAATAGATAAATCAACAAATTTGATTATATTCAGATAACAAAGATGCAATAAATTTACAGAAATACGATTTTTACTCTTAATTTCATGCATTCTAAATAACTTTATTCTGACTAAAATCATTGAAAACACTTATTGCTTGAGTTAGTGCAAGAATCATTACGTACAAAATATATTTTGTTCTGTAATGACTACCTTTTACACCTATTTTAGAATATTTGTTAAATCGATTTAAAAAAAAGTTCTGAGTAATCACTATTGAGTTCAATAAAAACGAATCAAGGATTAAAATAATTGAAAATTAGTTTATCTAAAGATGAAGCCATGTCTGTTCCTTTAAGACAGGCTAGGCATACCTATCCTCCTATACCTGTGGTTGCAAATGTAAATATAATAGCGTATTTATTTTAAACTATCAAACAACTATTTAAGTTTAATTTAAAGTTTACAAAATATTTACTTTTTAGATTTTACTTTAATTCAAAAATTGCACTGTTTTCAATTTTAGAACTAACTGTGATAATTTAAATTGACAACATGCCGTGGCTATTAAAATATCACGTTTCTTTTAAAAATAGATGAAATTTTTCCTACTTTTTTAATAGTACTTAAATTTTAATAGAACGCTGACCACTGCTAGGCAGTTTTTTGATGATTTTACTCCATACTTTGCTCATACCGAATTTAGTAATAATTCCGCATAGTTTGGAATACTTTTTATTATCCATTGGCAAAATGGGACTTGTTTTGGATTTTATGGCGTCCGCACTTTTCAACTGTGTTCAAGAGTAATAGTAAACAGTGCACATGTGTTGCTATGGCGACCGCTGTTTGATATTTTTTTTAAATTCATTTTTTCACTTTTAATTTTGTTATGCATTAAGTTTGTGAGTTTATTTTTGAGATATGGGACCATGCAGTGCGCATGCGTTGTCATTGGATGCGTTGCTATGGCGACCGCTGCTGTTTGATAATTTTTCTAGAATTCTTTTTTATTTCTTAATTAAAAAAAATATTTGTTACATCAAATGGCTACAGATTTTAGATATCATTTTTTATACTAATTCAAAAACTTCATATCGAATGCAGCCACTACGGTACACCTTCTGTATTTTTAAGGCTGTTTAAGTTTTTGTTTTCTTAATAAGAGAGCATCAATTTTGATATTTCTGTATATTTCAACTACTAATGAATATTTTCCCAATTTTATTTTAGGAGAAAGAAGATTAGATCATAACATGAATATTTCGAGCGTAACCGGTCACGGAGCAGGCAGATTTGCAACCGGTTCAACTTGGGAAATTCGATGCCACCATTGAAATTTCAAAAATATATAAACGATAGAAACAATTTTATCGTTTGTTCCAAGTGCTTTGCCGATTTCTTTACACTTCATCGATATAAATATTTTAAAACTGAATAAAGACTCACTATGAAAGAAGACAACAAATTAATGCAAACACTACAGTGTTAATATAACGGGAACAGATATTTCGTTTCGCAGGAAAATCATTATAAATTTGGAAAACTGTAACCGATAATTATTGTTCTTTACAAAACGTTCATATGTCTGTATTCTTATAAGGTTTCTGATAGTTCACGAAAAAAGCTTTGAATACTTACATAATAAAAATAAACTAACTATTGTTAATTGAAAAAAATTAAAAACAATTTTCTATATTTTATTCAGAAACTATACATTTAATTAAGTTTCTTGACGATTACATAAGCAAATGTCATGAGATTTTAAAAATACACACAGTTTGATTTTATGTATTGATTTCCATATTACAGGACTAAAAAATGGAATCCCTTGTATATATGTAAACTATCCTTCCTTTAGCAGCGAATGTTTTAGAAGATTTTACTTGTCAAAACCGTTGCCACAAATTGAAAGATAACGCTTGAAGCTTTTAGAATTGTGCCATTTTTTAAGCATGCATAATTCAGATCGATCTAAGTGAAGAGAGAAAGTTTATATCTTCTTTCTTGCTTTAATTCCAGCAATTTTGAAATCGATCTATATGATATTTACATAAGAATAATTTTAGCTCATACTATACCGTATGCTTATTCTGATCGATGTAAAGTTTGCAAGAGTAAATGGAACACCATTTCTAAAAGCTTTAAGCATGATCTTTCAAATCGTATCAATAGTTTTGCCATGTAAAATTTTCCAAAACAATTGCCGCTAAAAGGAAGATTATTTACATAAGGATAATACAAAATTGTTCACATTATTTTGCCCTGTACTTACATAAGAATAAGATATTTACATAAGAATAATTTTAGCTCATACTATACCGTATGCTTATTCTGATTGATGTAAATTTTTCAACAATAAATGGAACACCATATCTTCAAAGCTTTAAGCATGATCTTTGAAATCGTGTCAATAGTTTTGTCATGTAAAATTTTCCAAAACATTTGCCGCTAAAAGAAAGATTGTTTACCTAGAGTTAATACAGAAATGTTGACGCTATTGATCAAAGCTGAACACAGACATATTTAGCATACATTTTTTTTTACATATTCATGACATCATTGCTGAAAACTTTTCTTACTGCGCTAAATTTGTCCTACAATTAAAAAGTTAACAGCTTCATGTTTTGCAGCCATAGCAAATACCATCCCATAACGTTAACATACTAGTGTTTGCATTATACAAGCGTATGACTTAAATATTGAATTAACTATGCATCTAGTTACAACGAAAATATATATTGCTCCCTGATAACTCACTGATAATACTGTTTAATCAGATTTCATTCTTCTACTTGAACCCTTTGAGGAATGGACACATGTTATAAACATAAAAACGATATACATATATATATATAAATGTAGAAACTTTAGTGAACCCTAGTTTAAAGATTGTTATTGCTGCGAAATTTATTAGGCAAATGTGATTTTATGTATTGCCTACAAGTACTACTAGTGTGCTGTGCAATGAACTGTCACCATACTCCACATTCCAATTGTGTATTTGAAAATTAATTTAATCAGATTTTTTGTGTAATTGTGAAATATTTATGCAATGTTTCTTGTATGTTTCTTGAAAACTCATATCTTTGAACTGTGTTTTAAATGCATACTTTTCGAGAATAAAATATTAAAAAGTTTTTCTGTTTAATCTTAACTTTTTATTTTGTAACCATCGATGAACAGCCGCCCCAATTTCTTGGGTTTACGGCTACTAATTTATTATATATACAGCGGCCTAGGCCAATAGGCCCATACGCCAAATACAATGGATCATTTAAAAGGTCAACGGACCCTTATATAAATAAAATAAAAATTATATGTATATACAAAATTCAAAACTTATTAACCCTTATATAAATAAAATACAAAAATTATATATATATAAAATACAAAAATTATGAACCCTGAGACAACCAGTAAAAACTGAGTGAGCTGTGAGCCAGAGCTGGTGGACCCCTCAATACAAGACGAAAAATCTAACAATTCACCAAAAACAGCCGTAAATACAACTCATAAAACCGTCAAAAGGTGAAAGGATAAAATGACATAAATGAATATAGTGCTAAAATTGAAAAGTTAAAACTGAGACATAATCACAGATGTATACACTTGCCAATAGGGCATTGAAAGGATCCAGCCAATCAAGCCAGCTTTACGGCTACTAATGTTCAACTTCATGGCCTTGTAATTTTGAACCCAATCCAGAGGGCGAGGAAACTCCTGGATCAAGTATTGGGAGAAATTTGTCGTCGTGGAGGACTTTTTGATGGAATTAACCGCATTCGGGTTACATGGACATGAAGACCACTAGAACCTCCCACGGTTAGCCTGAGGACAAGGGGTCTCTAACCAACGATCCGTCTACCACTGAGGATATTTCAAATCAGCACTGTGGTCGGTGCGAGCCGGTGTGGATTTCGTATCGACCAGCCTTCGCTGGGATTCGAACCTGGTTCACCTGATTGGAAGGCAAACGCTTTATCCCTGAGCCACCGCGACTCTAGATAAAAACTATTATAATTTTAATGGTTAATTTATGGTCGACTGTCTTTATACCATCACCAATGAAAGGGTTAATTTGTAAGTTATCACAGTCCTTTAAAAAAAGTTATAGAAAAAAAAACAAAGAAAACGAAATGTATCTAGTTGGTAGATTACGAATACTGAGTAACTCCTCAATTATAGAATAATAATCAAATTAAAAAAAAATTATTTTATTCAAACCTTACGTATCCTATAAACCCGTTTTTCATTTTTTTTTTTTTTTTTGAGAAAACTTTTAAGGAAATTAGTAATGACTGGTAACCACATTATTTCATAATTAGCATTTATTGTGCCGATTCGACTTATAGAAGTTCAACTAATAAGAGCTCTACAACAAAAAATTTTAAGAAATGATGGAAAGTTCTAAACTAAAATTGCTGATTTTAGGCTAACACATTTAAAAGTACTGCTGCGAAACGAAAATGTTAACATCCAATTTTGACATAAAAATCACATTTCGAGAATAGTGGAAGGGCTTTTATGTTTAGAATAATTGGATACCCTTAAGTTTTAAAATATTATTAATGGCCAAATATTGATTTTTATATTATTAATAAATCTGTAATTACTGTTAGTGCGACTGTCTTACTTAAATAAAATTTCAAGAATGAAATAATTAAGCTACCAGTCTTAATTTTTTCGAGAAAACTTCACCAAAGCGATGGCGTTTTGTTGATAAATTTTTCCAATTTTTAAAAAGGCACAACAGGAAAAAACTGTAACAAAGTGGCACTTCATATAAACCTTTCGAATTATTTAGAAGTAGTTGTGGTGTGAAAAACAGATAAATTAAGTTTACTAATTCATAATTCAAAAATAAAATTTGCTACCAATAGAAAATATTTATTTGCGATACGAAGCATCTGACTGCAACCACGGTGCAGCCAACTTGCACCGTGGTTTTGACAATTTTTTTTCTCCTGCACAGTTTTAAACAAAATATATAATCCTTGATAAAATAAAATTAATTTGAAGTTATTTTGCACATCACTATATATTATATATAAATATGCATTCAGGGATGCAAACTGCTCCACTTTTTTCAAATCTTTGAATAAATTGGTAGCGAATTAAATAATAAAACTTGTAGAATAAGGGTAATAATGTCTACTCTTTAAACATTTACCTTTAGATAACTCAGCATACCCTCCAACTGCTACGGAATTTCCGTAGTTTCAGAAATCTCCTTATCAGACGGTAGCAAAATTAATGTCTTAATATTTAAAAAAAAATTAATTTTAGCGTAACTTGTCCACTATTACTTATAAAAGTGCATGCCATATGGCTAGATTCTTAATTTCTGATAAAAGTTTTATGAGAGATCCATTTGCTTTAAAAATTTCTACTTTGGTTCGCTACCACTAGAAAGAATTATTTTCAAAATCCTCATAAGTTGGAGGGTATGGATAACTGTAATATAAATTGCATTTCATATCAAACTACAAATTTTTGATATGTAGTGGTGGAAAAATGATTTAAAATGATAAATACTAAACTAAAATTTAAATTTCGTTACCACTAAGAAATAGTTTTTTACTGAGCGGGGCAACTTGGCATCTTTAATATATATATTAAAAATATTGAAAAAAAACATGGAAAATAATAAAGATTATTGCAAAGATACAAAGAAAAACTAAAATTCAATTTAAAAAAAATATATATATATTAAAAAGCCGGAAAAAAATGCAACTACATACCTGCCAACTTTTAATCCCTTCAATTACGATTTTTCCCAGTGGTATTAAAATGGAATTAAAATTTCAATTTTAAGCAACGAAATAGGTTGTAATTGAAAGAGCTTGAGCTGAAGTTGTTGAGAGTAACGCATATTAATATATATGCGTAAATTTTTTAAAAATAGTGGTGATCAAAATCATTTAAAAATTAAGTTTATAAAGGAAAAAATAGTATATATTTACTACCACTTTAAATATAAAAATAAAATTTTACGCCAAATACGTAAAAGTTGGCAGGTATGCAACTACATAATTTCCTCATCAGCTCACAAGATTATATCCGCAATTAGCAGTGCTTTCTAATTTTGTATCAATATAGTCAAAGATAAATATATCAATACAATAGTGTGATGAGGACTCGAAAAAAATTGAAACAAAATAGAACTCCTTAAGTAAAACATATATCACGCAAAAACCAGAAAATAAAAGGAAAAACAGAACAAAACACGAAACGAAATGAACTTACATGTACCGCACTCTTTCTAGAATGATTTAAAATATTTTTCGTAATCAAATTGCTAGGTTACAAAGTATTAAAAGAGAAGCTCAAATGGACTTAAAAGCATAAATAGAGGAATTTTGATTTAAGGGTTATTCTTACTGCAGAAATGAAGCGCGTTTGATTTGTTAGTTATATAGGATTGGTCCGAAAAATGGATGTGCGCAAGAAAATATTATTATACTGGATAATTTAAAGAAGATTATAATTTATGAGGCTGATATTTAACTATACAATTTTAATGATTTTAGAAAATTAACATTTATTTAAAAGAGAGAGAAACATGGTTTGCCCGTTTTGCGCACATTTTAAGTCACGGATTGGCCCAAGTTTGACTTGCACATGAAAAAATATAAATTAACAAATAAGTGTTTAGTAAATTTATTAATAACAAGTTTTTAAAAGGGTAATAAACAGCCAATTTCAATTTTGTTGACGTACCTAAAGGTAAAGAGAGTCTATTTGATATCTTTAGCAAAAATTATTGAGATCATTAAGAAAGTGTCTTAGAATTTTATTAATTGATATATGATAAATGTGTCTAAAGTTTGTGCCTTTTATCATTAAATTCCAAAATTCTAAATTTTCTGTTCATATTCTAAAAAAAAACTGTTCATATTCTAGAAATCTGTTCATATGGCCAAGCACATAGCATCATTTTAGGGTTCTGTCTTTTAATGGTCATGGTTGGGATGTCACGTAATTTTGACCATTTGGCCAGACTGCGTGACCAGCTCCTTAGCTGGCATCCCTATCATCTCCTACATCAAAAAGCCTCCACACGGTCTTTTATAAGGTGTCCGCGCAGACAGTTTAAAAAGTGAACCAGTTGTGCGCATGAACCCAAAACCTTTTGTAAAAGTAATTGAGAGAAATTCATCTTATAAATTTGAGAATTGAATCTGTAGTGGTTGACAAGTGAATAAGGCAAACCAATAATATTCATAAATGAAACAAATTTTTAGTCATATATTTGCTACCACTTTCTTATTTTAACTAGATTTTGTATTCAGTGACTCGTTCGGAAAGTGGATATCCTACACAGTGGTCTGATCGGACTACCTATAAAAAACCGTGTGGAGGCTTTCAGTTATAGAAGGCGTTGGTATCCCTCTCTCCAAACTTTCCACATCATTGCCGATAAAATGTAATTCAGCCACGGCTGATTTAGCGTGCACCTTGCTACGTGTACGCACCGGTTGTTTTGTCAGGATCGAACCAACTACCCCCATCTGTCCAACCAACTTTATGAGTGACGGCTTAACCGATTACGCTTCATACTATGACCACACGATTTGAAAGGCATGCAATAGTAAAATTTTGCGACAGCAACACTTCCTATACACATTAATCAATATTCATCAAGTTTTGCACTTAAACTAAATATTACTAAATTAATTGTTTTCGTTTTCGCTATTACAAATAGAAAAAAAAATCGCCTTACTCAGATATCTACAATCCGGAAACAAAAAAAAAGCATGGTTCGAACACTTATTTCTAAAAAATGTTTTTAATAAGTAGGGAAGAGAAGGTAAATAATATTCTTACAATAATACTGCTCATTTGAAAGCTTCTGGGAAAAATATTTAGACACTGTCTGGGTAAAAAAAAAACTAAAAGAAACACTATATCTATAAAATATTTTATAATAAGACTTTTTGTCACAATAGAGTTTGATATAAAAATAAAAAAAAATCGATACGTTTAGGTTAATAAATAAACAGTTCTCATGTTTAGCTTCATATTCTTTTTCACCCGAATCTAGTATAGTTTTCATTTCTAAGGTAAACAAATAGTTATTAAGTTTACAACAGCAAGTGATCAAAAGATGTTTGCCCAGACAAGTAATCAATTTTTTTCCTCATATTT